AAATTCTGCACCAGGAACTGGACAATTTCAAAGAAACCAACTTGCAACTCACTGATAGACTGCAAAAACAAAAGAAGAACGATAATCTGAGTGCCAAGCTGGAGGAGAACACCAAGGAGAAATGGATGCTGCAGCAGAAACTGGATGATCTCAACATGAACATGGATACCCTGAAAGAAAACAACTTGGAACTCACTGGAAGGTTGCAAAAAGAGCTAAAGAAGATTAAATCACTGAGCGTATTGCTCCAGGACGAGACGGAAGCAAAGCTTCAGCATCATCAGCAGTTTCAGACGGTGCTGCAGTCCAACACAGACTTAAAACATAGGCTACAGGAGCTGGAGGCCACAAAAGAGTCCAGCACCGAGGCAGAAGTTCTCAACCAAAAGTTGGAGAACCTCAAAAACCTTTACACTGAGCTCAACCGTGAACTTCAGGCTCAGAGAGATGTCAACTCAAACCTGGAGTCAGAAACCTCCAGACTATCAGCTGCCCTTGAAGCTGTGGTGTCCACAAACAAAAGTCTATCCAGAAGACGAGAGTACGACGTAGCTGATCTTCAGAAAGAGCAGAGCTGGAGACAGGATCTTGAACTTCAGCTGCAGGAACAGAAGGAAGCTTATGAGCAGGTGCTGGAGGCTTCAAAAGAGCAGCGGGATACCACAGAGACCCTGCAAGAGGAGGGTGAGCGCCTAAAGGCTGCCCACCAGAACCTCTCTGCCAAACTGCAGATAGAGGAGGAGCTTTGCTGCCAGCTCCAGTCACTGACCGACAAACTGTCTGTTGGCCTCGAGACAGAGAAGAAACGCAATGACATGCTGACCAAGGATAATAAGTCTCTTGCTGCAGAGATGGAGGAGGAGCGGACCTGGAGGCTGGAGCTCATACAACATTTCCAAGAGGAGAAAGATGGCCATGAGCGGGAGCTGGACGCCCTCCGACAGGAGCTGGAGCAGGTAAAACAGGAGCATCTCAAGGTGGTCACCTTGTTGGAGCGACACGAGGTCGAGGCCTGCAACAAGAAGAAGATGAGGTTGAACAGACAAGTTCTGCGCTTCTTCAGTCTGGCCAAAAAGAGAGAGAAGTGAAGTTATTTGAGGTCTGTTGGAGACAGAACTTCTACAGACAAACCTCAAACAATTAAGAACTTTGATGGGTTTGAAGCAGGAACCTAGGTTCTTTGGACATGGATAGAAAATGTATATCCCCAGAATCCATGACTCCAGCAGTGAGAGGAGAGAAGAACGTAAGGGCGTTCAGAATGTGGGATATACAGTAAAACAAAAACCACATGAATCACCGGCAGGTGAAGGGGGTTTTGGAGACGAGAGGGTTCAAATGAGGTGTCATGGTCCAGACACCAAGAGTCAATGGGAGGAGTCTCATCAGTGGGAGGAGTTGTCATCGGGAGGACACTGACTCCATAACTGAGATTCTCTGACCCTGAGCACAAGCACCAGAAACCGCACAACCACGCAGTCGCTTGAAGAAATAAAAGTGTTCCTTTGTGTAAAAAGAGTTCTCCTCCATGTTCCTAGTGTCTTCAGTGTCTGGCCCCTGTGGAACTACAAATCTTTTTCTCAAATATTTTTGGCCACTTCTTCACTTGCTCATGTTAGCATTAGCTACAGTTTGGCTAAATAGTTTTTTTTTTAACCATTTAAAAATTTTAACCATTTTTACAAACTTTGGCTAACTTTTGACTTGTTGTTTTGTTTCAGTCTAAAATATTAATCTAATTGTGCAACTTTAGCTAATTTTGGGCTAGTTTAACAATTGTTGCTTAACCTTAATTATATTATTTTGAGTTTGATTTAATTCTTGGTCAGTTATTTCTTGACTAACCTTTAGTTATCATATTTTGAATCTGCAAAATAATTTACTGAATTATTTAAACACACTTAAAAATATTTCCATGTTGAATTTTAGAGGCCTCTGGTTCATTTGTTGATTTTTGTCTTCGTTTTAGCTGTTTGAGTCAGATTTACTCTGTTCTTTTATTCTGCGCTAACAACAAGGTCTTTGCTCAAATATCATTTTCGGGGTTCACTTTCAGTAAGACTTTAATCTTTAATTCCAGACTAAATTAATTTAAGCACTTCTTGCAAATTCTTAAAAATCATGTGGGGTTCTTTCTATATTCTATATTTGAATAGCTTTAATCTGTAAGCTTTAATTTTGACAAATGTCTAGCCCTTTTCTTTCATCCTGTTTGACTATTAAGTCAGACAGCATGTGTCCCCTGTGTGTAGTACCGAGCTTGTCCTTGGTTGGAATGTTAGTTAAATTATTCAGCGACATATAGTGGGTGAGCACCACTCTGCTCTGTTTCACAAGCAGATGTTTGGTAAAGAAAACTGAGCATTAAAAAAGTGAGACAGGGGGAGGATGATGTTTCATTTTGCAAAGTGATATATTGAAATGTACTGAATAAGAAAGCAGTTTACCTGAGCTAAAACCACTGATTTTCTCCATGGACTTTGGTCTGAACTAAAATCACTGATGTTGTTGTTGTTTACAGGCCTACACCTAACAGATGTAGGTGTGAAAAGGAAGTGAAATGGTCTCACCTCCCCCACCATGCCATTCCATTCTCCATCAATGTTCTTGCCGTGTCTTCCATTGGTTACCAGGTAAAGGTCATAGGTGAAGCCAACTATCTTGGCAAGTCTCTTCAGGACGTCAATGCAGAAACCTTTGCAGCAGTGCTTCATAGGTCCAGCACCTTCTACCACCAGGCTGCAAAGAAGAAGGTCAGGAACCAGGATGAAGCAGGGGCACACAACCTGTGAGTACCCACAACTGTTGCTCTTTAAATTTCAGAAGACATAATGAAGGATGAAGGACCAACAGCTCACACTTGTTGTTAACAACAGTTGTCACATCTCCATCAACTGTAGAAGTGAAATATAAAAAGATTCACATTGAAATTGTGAAGACAGAAGCAACCAACGTTAACCACAAGGGGAACTGAGGTTCCTCCTACCAGCTGACCCTGATGATGATGGTGGTGGTGATATAGATGATGATGTCACTGGTGTTGATAGTGATGACATCATCACCTTGTGTTAAGGGGCATACGACAGGGAACCGAATCCCTGATACAGGAGCTGGTACCAGGGTCTGCAGGCTCTACAATAACAAAGGGTCTTTCTTCCAGAGTGACCACACGGAGGTGCTGTGAGTCGTCCAGTGGCTTCAGAAAGGAACCGTAACGAGACCAAGGATGGTACCGTAGACGTAGGTGTCCGTTCTCCCACCAGCCCACCTGAACACAACCACAAACACAGAAACGTGTGTGAGCACTGTTGACCTTCAGTCTAAGAAAAGAGGTGGAGCTTAACTGATGATACCAAACATCTGGGGCGTGGGGTAAAACTGGGAGATCCTCCCCTCTCCCTCACCCCTCACATAATGACATGCTGTTCTTTCTCTAGAAAATGTTGACAGATCCATAAATACATTGGGCTGTAAAATGTCAAAAACACAGTAATGGAATATTACTGTGTTTTTCTCACACACACACACACACACACACACACACACACACACACACACACACACATCACATTCAAACCTCCTCCTTGAATACCTGCCTGAACATTGGGGGACGGGACGGGACAGGACACCTCCCCTCCCCCCCACCTCTAATTTTAACCAGAACAACCGCAGGTATCTCCTCCTCAGGGTCAGAGGTCAGCAGAAAGTTTTGTTTGGTGTCAAGACTGACCTCTTCCCAGCCACGGCCGTTGTTGTAGGAGATGACGTCAATCAGAGGGTTGGATAGATAACCATCACTGTTGAAGGAATAGTCACGCCCCCCAATGGAGATGTTGGTGAAGTACCTGAGAGGTGACAGAACAACAGACTGAACAGTTATTTTAGCTCTCAGACTAAAGTACAAATAGAAAATCTGTGATTTTTCAATAAAGACAGCAGCTGCTGGTCCACTACTGCCCCCTGTGGTCAGTTTGTGTCACTGAAGTTAATCTGAAACCTGTTAGTGGTGACGAGGGTGAATCAACATTTGCCTGTGTGCTGTGTTGAAAATCATTAATTTCTTTATGGACTTAATAATCGTATTACAGACTGCAGTTCACAAACTCACCACCAGTCTCACAGTGGCACAAAGACTAGAACTTAGAACTGAGTGTGTGGAAAAAGTCACGTGTTGGATTTGTGTTTCTCTGTGCACAGGGAAGAAAGAACAGAAGTGACAGTCATTTCTCTGGACATGTTTTATATCTAATCCAAAATTAGGTCATCGTCGTCATCATCATCATCAACGCCATCATCATCATCGTTCTCAGATGTGTTTGTTTATGAGCTGCTCAATATGACGACGGTCAAAGTAAGAGAGCAGCTGAAACCTGTTCCAATCATTGTGCCCCCTTCTGGCCGACTGGTAGATTAGCTTCATTTTTTCAGGAGAAGACAACATCAGTGTGAAGGTCAGAGAAGACAGTCAGCTCTCTGAAGGATGAAGGAGCTGGGATAAAAGATTCATGTTGTTCTCCCTCAGTAGCACCAAGCCTCACGGACTTCCTGTTCCAACACTCCCCACTCTGGGACACTCAGTCCGTCATCCTGACAGCAGTCGGGGCTTCTGGGATGTCTGTGGAGCATCAGTAATATTCTGCTGCACCGTTTCTGTCTTAAAACCAGATATCTGTGAACCTGCAGCATCAAAGCACAGCTCTGAAGATGATGGTGTGAAGACGATGGTGTGAAGACGATGGTCTGAAGACGAAGGTATGAAGAAGATGGGGACAAGACGATGGTGGGAAGACGATGGTGTGAGGAGGATGGTCTGAAGACGAAGGTCTGAAGACGATGGTGTGAAGACGATGGTGGGAGGACGATGGTGTGAGGACGATGGTGTGAGGACGATGGTGTGAGGACGATGGTGTGAGGACGATGGTGTGAGGACGATGGTCTGAAGACGAAGGTCTGGTGTGAGGACGATGGTGTGAGGACGATGGTGTGAGGACGATGGTCTGAAGACGAAGGTCTGAGGACGATGGTGTGAAGACGATGGTCTGAAGACGACGGTCTGAAGACGACGGTTTGTGAACGTCTGAGAACACCTGAGTTCTTCTTCCTGGTAAAAGGTTTTTCTCCTCATGTTGACAAATGCCGCTCAGTGTGTGAATTCATTTGGTTTTCAGACATATTTCTCACACTGGTCCTTTCTACTGTAAACATATTTTAAACCAGTTCATGGACACACATGTCTTTGGATTGGACTTGTCCTCACCTGATCCGTTCAGGAACTCTGTGCGTCTGGTTCCCATCACTCTGACAGTTACCAGCGTACTGCGACCTGCTGTTAGGCCCCTGGTCCCTCCTCAGAGCCATGGCCCCGTGGGTGAGGACAGAGACTCCTTTGGCAATTCTCCTGGAGGAGGAGATGAACGTTTGTTTGTGACATCACTGAAGTACAGATTTTCACCCAATTTAGGAACAGTTGCACCAAAACACATTTTTTAAAAAATCAGTGATTTTAGCCCAGACCAAAGTCCATAGAGAAAATCAGTGACTTCAGCTCAAAGAGACACTGCAGTTGTTAACTCAATGCCTCCAACACTATGTTCAGATGGGTTTTTTTGTGACTACACAGTTTGAAATCCTGTATTTAAATTGACCTGACTGACAAACTGACCAATTCTACTGTTCCAAATAATACTCCTATGCAAATACCTGCGTGGTTCATCTCTCCAGCCCTGTGGTCTGATGGCAAACAGAGCCTTGGGTAAACCCTCCAAACCTAGACCAGATAGAGCAGGTCCAACAGCAAACCACATGTGACTGGGTCCAGCCTGCCCTGACGCCCACGCCGCCCTGAAAATCAGCTCAGCCTCCTCCAGGGAGCAGTAGAGCAGACGCACCTGCACACATACAGGAAGAGAAATAATGTAATGTTTTAAATGAAAAGGACATTTAAACCACTATTCCCAATAGAACACATTTTGACTGGAAAAAAATTAAAATTATGAAAATTGAAATCAAAAAAGTGACATAAACATGTTAACTTTTATTTCATGAATCCATTAGTACTTAATGAATACTACTCTGCCCTGGCTATCATTTGGTTGATTTCTGGCAGAGTTGATTGATTTGTGGCTCAGATGAGACAGATTTCCTCTAATGAGAAGTGATTTTGCATCTTTATCAGTAATGTTCCTCTAGATCAGCTGTGGTGAATCAGAAACATGACACTGTTCAGATCAAACATGATGAAGCATCTGTCAGAGACACTTCTCCCTCTCCTCCTTTCTTTCCTGTTCATTTTATCTTTGAAAAGACTGAAGTGTGTATCTACTCGGCCTTCTTCCGTTCTCCACAAGGATAATTTCCTCTAATCCATCATTTATCATTTCTACACTGAACACTATATTAAAGGAAAAGCATTGCCTTTAGACTCCGCCCCTGATCCATGCCTGTTCATGTTCTGTCTTCAAAGAGCAGAACCTATATCAAATATAGGGAGAGATCTTTTTAAAATGACATTAACAAATAATGCAATCACTGCAGGGTTAGATAATCCTGTGAAAACTATATGCCTCCGAGAATTAGCTTAGCATGCCATTGGTCATACTCAGACCAATCAGGTTGCATAGAGGGACGCTTGAAAGAATAGGGGCTTCTTTACTAGGGTGGAGAACAATGTAGAAGAAAATTTATAACACAGCCTTGTGGACAAACAGAGATAAATAACAGCAGACCTCAGACTGCGCCCACTCACCTGAGCTTCGTTGTCTTTGAGCAGGCGCTTGGTTCTAGCTCCACCAGGGTCGTCTGTCACGTTAAGGACCACCACACTCTTTTTCTCCCAACCAATGAAAGAACCATCGGTCATCCCTTCCACCATGGCCAAGAAGTCCTCATATCCATGGTGACGGGTGGTCACCACAGAGAATGCGGTCCAGTCGTACTCCTCCAGAACCTCAAAGATGACTTCCAGCTGCAAAGCTGTTGAGCAGGTGAACTGGAGGTAGATGGAACCACTCTCCTAAAGAACCAGGACACAGAACCAGATCATCCAGAGTGGACTAGTTCTGAACAGATGAGACACTAAAATGTTCCACCAAACAAAAGTACTAAAAATGAACATAAAGGTGGACCATTCCGATTCCTCCTCCACAAAGAATGGAGGGGGGAAGGGTATTTATCTGTATGAAGAAAGGTTATATTTTTCATTTGTAAAACTGTAGACAGGAAGTAACAACTTAACTTAGTGTATTCAGTACTACAGTTAGTGCTGTATTCATTACTTTAGTCAATACCAGATATAATACTTTATTCAGTACTGTATTGACTACAACATTTACTACTGTTTTCAGTGCTGTGTTACTACTAAATTGAATATTTACTGCACTACAGTATTTGCTCCTGTATTCACTACAATATCTTCTTCTTTATTTACTACTGTAAGTATCTGTATTATCTGCCACTGCATATTTGCTCGTGTATGTACATATACAGCATCTGCTATTGTACTCAGCATATCATTTACTCCTCTATTTACTGCAGTATCTACTGTAGTACAGTGGACCCCAGATACCAGGCTAATTCGTTCCACAACAGCACTCGTGTCTCCATCGAATTTTCCCCATTAAAAATTACTTTTTGGAAAGAATTTCAGGAAGCTCGTATCTAGGCTGTCCACTGTAGTACCTGAGACAGAGACAGCAGGTCTTCCCTCTTGACACCAGGGGGTGTTGTACAAAACCAAGATAAGGGATTACTTATTCATGAAAGCAGGATAAAGCTCAATTACCACAGTGTTTCATTCTCTGCAGCTAGCCTGCTACTGACCAAGCTAACGGCTATGCTAACGTTGCATCATTTCAATTAGTCACATTAGAATATTACTTATATATTGTCATTTCTATCTGTAATTTTTGCAAAAATCTTTCTTTACTGTGTCCTTAATTTCCCGAAGGTAACTTTCGAGGTTCCGATTAATAAAGTTCTGGTGCTGGAAATTCGATTTCAAATACGATTCTGACGTCACACGATTATGAAAACAATATAATTACGATAAAGGGATTATTGTACATTTCGCCCTTCTCACCTGTTGATCGAATTCTGTGGCGTCAATGTAACAGCGCACAGTACGAACCATTCCGAGGACTAGTCTAGGACGCCGTGAACGCGCAGCTTATCTATAGTCATCTTGACAAAGTGGTGTCTTTTCATCTTGGTTCAGCGTGAAACCGATTAAGCCAAAATGCGCGGATCAGAATAAGTGAATCCGCACTACCTCAGCTATCCGGGATATCGTTGTTCTACTTTTCTGCAATGCCCCCCTGGGTGATGACTTTTATCTCAGTTTCACCTGTGGCTCTCTTCCCAGACTTGCTCCGCCTCCTACGGCCACCACAGGAACACTCGTCTGGGCGGAGACAAATTCCAACATGGGAGCTAGGGGCGCACGGTTAGGTGGAGGTGGTCGTTCTTCTTCAAAGACCAGACCCTGCAAGGAATAAGAATTATTGAAAAATGAAAGTTTAAATCAGCATGTGTCGATTTTGTCCACTGAGAAGAGATATCCTTCAAATTATAGTTTTAGTAAAAAGGAATCAGATAAGGAGCATGAATGTGTTGCTCAGTGTCGTTCACACTCACCTTCTCTTGAAAAAATTGTTTCCTCGTTAAAATATTCCTGAAAGTTTTAGAAACAAATGGAACAAACTATGTAGGGTCCAAAGTCCATGGAGAAAATCAGTGATTTTAGTTCAGACCAGAGTCCATAGAGAAAAGCAGAGATTTTAGTTCAGACTAAAGTCCATGGAGAAAATCAGTGAGTTTAGTTCAGACCAAAGTTCATAGAGAAAATCAGAGATTTTAGTTGATACCAAAGTCCATGGAGAAAATCAGTGATTTTAGTTCAGACCAGAGTCCATAGAGAAAAGCAGAGATTTTAGTTCAGACTAAAGTCCATGGAGAAAATCAGTGAGTTTAGTTCAGACCAAAGTCCACGGAGAAAATCAGAGATTTTAGTTGATACCAAAGTCCATGGAGAAAATCAGTGATTTTAACTCAGACCAAAGTTCATAGAAAAAATCAGAGATTTTAGTTGATACCAAAGTCCATGGAGAAAATCAAAGATTTTAGTTCAGACCAAAGTCCATAGAGAAAATCAGAGATTTTAGTTCAGACTAAAGTCCATGGAGAAAATCAGTGATTTTAGCTCAGACCACAGTTCATAGAGAAAATCAGCGATTTTAGTTCAGACCAAAGTCCATGGAGAAAATCAGTGAGTTTAGTTCAGACCAAAGTTCATAGAAAAAATCAGAGATTTTAGTTGATACCAAAGTCCATGGAGAAAATCAGTGATTTTAGCTCAGACCAAAGTTCATAGAGAAAATCAGAGATTTTAGTTCAGACCAGAGTCCATAGAGAAAAGCAGAGATTTTAGTTCAGACTAAAGTCCATGGAGAAAATCAGTGAGTTTAGTTCAGACCAAAGTTCATAGAAAAAATCAGAGATTTTAGTTCAGACCAAAGTCCATAGAGAAAATCAGAGATTTTAGTTGATACCAAAGTCCATGGAGAAAATCAAAGATTTTAGTTCAGACCAAAGTTCATAGAAAAAATCAGAGATTTTAGTTCAGACTAAAGTCCATGGAGAAAATCAGTGAGTTTAGTTCAGACCAAAGCCCATGGAGAAAATCAGAGATTTTAGTTCAGACTAAAGTCCATGGAGAAAATCAGTGATTTTAGTTCAGACCAAGTCCATAAAGAAAATCAGTGATTTTAGTTCAGACCAAAGTTCATAGAAAAAATCAGAGATTTTAGTTCAGACTAAAGTCCATGGAGAAAATCAGTGACTTTAGCTCAGACCAAAGTCCATGGAGAAAATCAGTGATTTTTAGCTCATTTTTGTCACTACAGTAAATACAACTTTAGTAGTTATATAATTTAAATTTGAAGTGTTTGAGGCAGCAGTTTATCACCACATATCGCTGATCAGACTGATGTGATTTTCTCTATTGACCTTAGTCAATGTGTGTGTGTGTGTGTGTGTGTGTGTGTGTGTGTGTGTGTTCTGGATACATCTCCAGTACCTGCAGCGGTGTGGTAGACAGTAGCTCACACAGCTGCAGCAGTAAGCTTCCTGGGCTGCTCTCGTTCACAGTAAGGTAGATAACATTAGCCTGACCAGACGGCGTCATCACTGTCTCACTCACTAGTGCTGCCAGAGACAGTGTGGACAAGACAGTGGCAGAAGAGGAGGAGGAGGAGAACGAGGCCATGGCAGCAGCTCCAGCCAGCAGTGTTGTGTCTGTTGCTCCCCTTACTCCTCCTAGACCGTTCCCCGGGCCCGGCTCGCCACTGCCGCCACCGGCGACCCCCGCGCCTCCCACTACCGCCGTCTCCGGGAGCAGGGAGGTGCCCGAGTGGATCACAGCGATGTTGACCCCACCCGAGTCCCTCTCTCTCTCCCGGGGCCGGAGCAGTAGGGGGGGCGAGGAGCGTGAAGGCCCCGTGCAGGCCAGGACCGCCAACAACAGTGAGAGGGCGGGCCTTGGGGCCACCATGGGGTTAAGGCAGGAGTGATGGCAGTGAGGGGGTTAGATGAGGACAAACTTTTGAAGAGCTGGAGTCCGTGGAGGGTGAGGTAGGGTGAGAAGGGGAAGGGTGGTAACAAGGTCTCACAGTGATTCAGGATAGAAGGTGCTGTGGAGCAGAAAAAGAGAAACGGTTGTTAGATATGTGCCTCATTTGTCTGTTTGTCTGTTTGTCTGTCTGTCCATCTGTCCATCCGTCTGTCCGTCCGTCCGTCTGTCCGTCCGTCTGTCTGTCTACCACTGATGGAGGAACCAAGTCTGAAGGAGGTTTGAGGAGAAACATCTGCAAAAGAGAGATGACAGTAAACATCACATTGTGTGTGTGTGTGTGTGTGTGTGACAGCAGTAAGCCTCTTTGTTTAACACAAAAGAAGAAGATGACGATGAGCAGAGTGAGAAGATGCTGAGATGTTCTTCCTGGTCAGAGTTTGAATGTGAAGAAGAGTCGACCATCTCATCTTCTTCACCGTTGGGTTTCTACCTCTGTTGTTGGTCCATATTGTCCCAGAAAACAACAGCAGATGTTGGACAGATATCTAACCCACAGATGTGGGCCACGGCCCACTGATGTAGGCCACGACCCACAGAGAGAAGAAGATGAAAGGTGAGAAAAGCCTGAAGGAAAGGAGATGAGTGAGTGTGAGGTAAAAGGAAGTCAAGGCCGTGGGTTGTTTTCTACAAGTGTCAGCAGCAACTGTCCCCCACCCCCACCCTAACCTCCCCCTCTTTCCTCCGCCCTCTCAGCTCCATTCTCAGATGATTCATTGCTCAGTCTCCAACCAGTGGATATGGGGGGAGTTGGAAGGGGGGGTTAATCTGCTGCTGGGCACATACACACAAGCATGCACACACACACCTGCAGAGAATGTGTGTTTGTGTGTGTGTACTTGCATTAAATGGCATTTTAAAATAAGCAGCAGCACTAGTCCTAATCCTTCAAAACTAGTCCACTATATCCTCCAAACATAGTCCACTAAATCCTCCAAAACTAGTCCACTAAATCCTCCAAGCATAGTCCACTAAATCCTCCAAAACTAGTCCACTAAATCCTCCAA